AAGATATCTTGGAGAAAAATGTTTGCTTTGGAAACTGTTTTTGAATGTGTGGAGCTTGGTCGCTAGGCTGTACGGAGAAACCACAGAAAACGGAAACTAGAGTCATACCAAAATGTGCCTGCCTGCTATGCTGTTCATCTTTCTAGTCGATCACTAGGGTTTGTGGCAGTAAACCTATCCCTAAAATAATCAGTTTTTAAGGCCTTCATTATTGAAGTTAATATTCAGACCTCATTATCTATCTTTTCAAAGGCCAAGTCTACTGAGCCCAGTTAGTTAATAATTTGTCCAACATTTATGTAGATATTTAATATGCTTCGTAGTTTTTATTACCGCTTACTAAAAATAATATTTGATATATTATAAACTGTTCATGAATAAATTTTTCAGAGTTAAGTTTTCAGACATGCGTAATATGAGATTTATTAACATAATTGTAATGACTACATCTTAGGATCGTGGAAAGTGACAAACTTCTCAAACTGAACTTCCTGCCATCAAGTCAGAGAGTTATGTTGGATTACTCGAACTGATTTCTGAGAATACAAATTGATATAATAGGACATCATTTCTTTTATAATGTTCACACAATTCCATGTTTCTCAGGAATTCAGACGGAATTATTTTTATTCACAGAATCCATATTATACTATGAATCAGTCCAGCTTATGTCCAAGATTGACCATTCATTTAAATGAATAAAAAACAACAGTCCCAAAAAATATGTTTACTGTGAATCATAAAAATTAATATCTGTGTATTGAAATTATGTATTAGCAATGTGTATTACATTAAAGGTGTACGATTAATCTTGAAAATGTCAGCTTCTAATGCTAACCGGTACAACCTTGATTATTAGCTCAGGATAAGTAGAGAATTAAAGTGATGCTACTTATTACGTCATAGTCAAACAGTTGTTGTACCGCATATAGGTGTCTACAAAACGCATGTACAGTTAGCTATTCAATTATCGGAGAATTTTTTAATCGTTCTTACTAGTTGACTTTAGTGAAATCATGCACACAATTTAAAAAGATTTGACAGTCTTCATTGTTCTGGTTTGCTGTTTCGTATCTATGAACAAAGACTGAAAAACATTTCTCCAATAAATAAAACTAGCAAGCTCTAAACTCTCAGTTTGATGTTAAAGTGAGAATGTCTCTAACTAGCTATCGACAGTTTACGACAACAGGGATAGTTTATAGTGTTAATCTTCACACAGTTCATTGACCAAGATATACTTCATAACGATTTGTAAGCGTTTATATTATTCCGTTGTGGATAATCGGAACATACTATATCAACCTCGTTTATTCAATATTGTGAATTCCTAAAGTCACATTTCCTTGGTCAAAAATATCTGTTGATAAACTTAATAGTTCAAATTATGAAATGACCTTAGCTGGACCACCAATGAAAACCAGGAAGTACTGGGAAAATGTCCTGATCTTGTACCGGACTTTTCAGCAGAACGTAGTCACGATCTCAACCTGAGGGATCGAAACCACAACTCTTGGTCTCACTTACAGAAACACCCAGCATTCAAAACTTATAAGCTGACATCAATGGTGTACATATGTCTAACTTACATAGATTCACGATATTGCGCAAACATCTTCCATTGTCAGTGGAGAGCGACTATTGCATACGGTTGAACTCTGTTATTCATAGTTTGTTGTCAGATGGCCAGGAATCTGTAGACATTCAGTAGTCAACTCGAGATTCGAACTATGAGAATCTTCATAATCTTCACAAAACACCTTATTTAAAAATTGACCTTAATCTTGTTCATTTTTTTCTGTTAACTAGCAAAGAAATAGTAGTAATAAAGCTACTTATCTAGTTCTAACTGAAATAATCCACTTTTTAATTCATGAATCATTTCAATAGATAATAATTTTAAGTGAAGTATTTAAGTTACTGTGTATTTCGACAGAGAATGACAATGACTGATACTTATCTGACTTTTGATTAGGCAATGAATGAAAATGTTACTGTTAGTTTGCCTACTGTTTTTCTCATTTTCTTCTAAAGTAAATAATCATTAAGTGTTTTCGAAGAAATTGTTTCAGAATGATCTGTAAGTTGACAATAATTCTGAGTATATTTAGAATACTCTTTAAATATTGTTGTATAACGAAGGAAGTTTCTTATGTACTATAAATTTACTTGGATTTAGAAAGCAGGTAATATCGGGCGTCCAAAGGGAGCTTTCTAAACAGATTTCTAGGTATAAACCTGCTTATCTATCAAAAGAGGAATACAAAACTACCAACAGTTTAACACTGAAACGCCTTTGGAATTTTAATCATATCACCCGATCAGAAGTATCTTCAAAATAATCCATTTGTTCAAACGATCAAGTTTAAAAACGATCACAAATCAAGAAATTGTACTTGGTAAAGCCTTTGCACATTCAGAGACTGAAAGTAAAACTGCGTACAGAAAAGCAGCTTGTTCAGTCAATTATTCATTCATGATGATTACACTTAAAACTTCTAAATAATTTATGATAAAATCACTTTTATTTTTCAATAGGCTAATATAGATGTTTAGTCACTGTAAATAGGTTATATAGCTTTAATGATTGATACTATCTAAAGGGAGTTTTTCCTATGAGCTGTTTTTATTCATTCTTTAATGACACGATGAGTTTTTTCGTTGTAACTGGATTTACTCCCATAATGTAGCTCGGTTAAAGATTCTTAAATATTATTCAACTTATGTAATCGTATTTAGATTATGAAGGTCTAATCTCAAATTCTCAAAGATAATCTATTACACTTTTACAGTGTGCAAGTAAACTTAATTCCCTACTGATTTATACAGCGCTATGATTCAGCGATCACGAAATGAGCCTTATGAATCTGAAATTTATTCATCTTTAAATCAAAATAAATGGTATGTTACTTCATGTATATTTATCTAAAATTAAATTTCCCATAAAATTCATTTTAGTTTTTCTAAACTCAGATAATCAGTGCAGATGCATAAATAAAAAATAAAGGGAGGTAAAACTTCTAGCTTAAGAGGAGAAACTAAGTGAAGTTGATTTTCCTCGAATAAATACTTCAATTTTTAGAAATTTCCGAAAAAATGTTCTAATTAAATTTCCCCATTATTTCTATCATTATTTACATTTTCATTATGACTTTCTCTTATTGCTTAGTAAAATATATTAAAAGACGGTTATTATCATTGTACATGTCAGTCACTCTATTCGGTTGTACAACTACCTAAAATCAGCTAGACAAGTACATTTCCGTCACGGAATTCCAAGTTATAGAACTGATTCCAATTTCTGACCATTCACTATGATTTATGTAATTCATTGGTAGAGTCTTTCAGGAATTAAGAGTTTTTCCATACAGGATTGAGGACAGTATTGAATTTTACTGGGATCATGAAAAGATTTAATTTAATCAACCACTGAAAATATCGAAACACTGGACAACTCCTTTGTTGTGACATGAGACACTGGACGATAACAGCGCAATATCGTAGACTGATTGGAGTTAAACTTGTACACCCATGGGTCCTAACTAGCAATCCTGTATGTTAGGGTTCTCAAGTAAGACTGAATGCCTTGGCTTCAATCTTCAATGGTGGAGTTGTGAATACGAGCTTTAGAGCGTCTCATACAATGATGGAACAGCCGTCTAGTGTTTCCAGACTTTAGGTTGATTGTCTAAATTAGGTAGGATAATGATCTCGAAATTAACAGTTTAGCTATAAACGTCATAGCATATCTACACACGAACGAGGACAGGTTTTGTATTCGTGAATTTGTAACATGTTCGTGACTTTTTGCTTACGTAGTCTACAAACGAAATACATCTAGCAGAAAAGGATCAATGAACGAAACAATCCATCCATAAAGGCTCACATATATGATGGGGCTCAAAATCCCGCCGCTGAGACTCACAGATGGATAACTTGCAACCAGAAATAATATAGATATGTTCATAGTTTTATTCATGTAAATTATTCGGTTAAATACTTTTTTCCCATACATGAGCTCTGCATATTAGCCTAAATGTGAAAACATGGAGTCAATAGAAGGCTTTAATGGCTAACGGAGCTGAATTTCTACAAAATGTGTTCGTATGTACATAGAAATGCCCCTCGGATAATTGAACCAACTATTGACAGACAGTTCACTTTAATTTTGTCCTTTAATCAACTTGTCTTAATAGCCTAGTATATCATTCATTCACATATTAAATTTAATAAGTCATTTAGCAATTAAGAAATGGAACGGGTCACTGAAATCAGCATTCTTATAGGTCGAGCTTCATTTTTACTTGTTCGTTTTGAAAACTTACATGATTGAGCATGCAACGAGTCATAGGAAAAGTTTAACCTATGTTCTACACTCATTAAATTTAGTTTATCAATTATGCATACCGATCAAACATTATCAAATAAAATTTTATTATCAATTTAATCTTCTATTAAAGTTATAGAAATTAAACTCTACAAGGTTGCAGCCCCAGATAAGTAATAATGCTTTTTTGAAAACCACTAATTTAATATGCCTAGACTTTAAGAATTATTTATTTATATAAGTAGATTTGTGGAGATTGTAGACTTTCCTCAATTTGAATCACGAACTAATTGTAGTTGGGAAACCACTGAAAGCCAGATAGCACTACGTCGTGGATGCGCTTTTCTGAGGAGTCTAGTTAAAATCCATCTATGATCTAAACTGTGAAAATCATTTATTTCACCGTTAATCCTGATTACTTCAATTCATTCAAGTTTGTTCAATACATAATGAGTAATACAAAATAAGTCCATAAATAATTACGAATTTAATTATTTACCGATGATTAGAAATATTAAATAAAATAAATAATAGTTGTAATTACACACATACACGGTAATTAAAAACTGCACATAAATGAATAAAAATATTGTCACTGCAAAAGCCATTGTTAAGATACCCAGCATGCTGAAGTTAATTAAGCATACACTAAGTTAGTTGAGTAAATTCGAGATTAAACTGATAATATAAATGTTCCATCGTTTGCTTTTTGACTAGCTAATACTTCCTACAATAAATAAATATTAACAATACAAAACTCGATATCCTGCACAATTCGACAAACAGAAGTGAATTTTGAGATAGTAAATTTCTGTTGCATTTATATTACCAGAATTTAGACTTAAACTCATTGAACGCTTTTAATGTTGTTTCGGCTCGCAGAGCATTCTTCTGCTTTCACCATTTGAAGCTTTTTCTGTTGTTGCATATCTGTATATTTACCTAAACTGTTTTTTCGGTTTTGTTTTTTTTTCTTTTTCTTCAGTTTGGTTTCCTAATCTTTTGTTTTGACGCTTTTTGGCTACAACTATCACTGATTAAAGTTATGGTTTGGATATATTTTTGATAGTTACTGACGTAACTTTATAACTTGAAATATTTTCTGATTAGCTGTTTGAAATTTTCCCGTTTTATCATAATGGTTGTCCAAAGTCATCAATACAACAGACCATAGTTCTCTTCCTTGTTGGAGATGGTATGTAGTGTTAAAGTATCAAGAGATGGTTTCACAAAATGTGTATTTATTCATCACCCGCGGCGTTTAAATGTTATTGTACGCCGGCCTCACTTCGGTTAGGCAGAGAATGCTGCTTTACTCAAGCAGTTCCTCTGGGTAAAGCCTTGGCGATTCCCTTTTGATATTCATCTTCCCTCTCAAACAGGCAGTTTTTTTGGGGGAGGGTAGAATTTATAGCTTCCCGACCTCGGCACCGCGCATCATTACGGATTCTGGCGACGGATTGTTAGTCCCACATGAAAATAAATAATATAACAGTATTTGCTCTTCTCCGTCCCAATATCTGGCGGGCTAACATTTCTGCAGTTAGAGACTGTTCGACCTCAAAAAACTGGTCAATTAATACAGGTGAGTAGGTCGAAGACGAACGGACTAAGTCTGAAACCATATTCCGGTCTGTTACATTACCGTTCATCCCACAGTCAATGCGTTAGCTGTCAAATCGCCTCCATCCATCGACAGGTAAATCCAAACATTGCAGCGGCGTAGGGAACTCTTCGAGGCCTTTTTAGTCAAAGGATCACGAATCACTCATGTTTCAATACCGATAAATCTGTAATATATGTGAACAGACCATATCTGGATGTCGCGTCATTTAAGCTGATACGCAACAGTCGTATTTGTCCAAAATTATCATCATCGTTTATTAAGTGAAGTGCGAAACGTACTGATGGAATTCCCCATTTTGTTGCACGAAAACTCATATACTAACTGCGTCAGATTTGACTAGAGCTGTGATATCAAACTATCTTAGAGCACCTCTCACAACCACACCACTGAGGTATCAGCTTTAAAATCTACTACATGTGACTGTGAGAGCTGTCTTTCAATCGTTCATTGACCTCACATCTGTACGTTATTAGGTCTTGATGGGTTACATCCTTTAATACTGTCATCCCTCTTAAACGCTATTTGAGAACCACTCACGATGCAGTCTAACATGCCGTTTTCCCAAATTCAGCTCTCTAGTTATCAGGTGTGACAAGAGACTATCTACTTATCAGTTTAACTAGCATAGTAGTTAAGTTACTTGGAAAGATAACTGGGACAATATGAGTTTTAAAATAAGCATCTATATTTAACTAACTTATCGATTGCGAAGAGGAAGTCAGAAGCAGCCTGAAGTAACGGTTTGTCTGCTGATGTAATATTCAAAGATTTGAGCAAAGCATCTGATAAGTTTTTTTACCTATGGCTTAGGGGTTCTCGAGATTTGGAATAACAGATTCCATCAAACAGTGGATAGAAAGCTTCCTCCATGGACGAAGATAGATAGTGAGAGTATATGAGATACAATCAGATCGGTAACCGGCTAAAAGGGGTGTACGAGAACGCACCATCCTAGGTCCCCAATTGTTTCTTCTCTGGGCCAATGAAGTGATGTGACTGGCCAATTCGTCACCACTGTTGATTGCAGAGGATGTCAAAATCGGGAGAAGAGTAAGTAATGAAGTTGACCGTCTTGATTTCCAAGCTAACCTAGACAAACCAGTCAGATAGCCCCAACATTTTTTGCTTGATGCCATCAGTTTACTATCGCTTCTACGGATGCTGGAACAAAAAGACTCAGGAGTAACAATAAGTTATGACTTGAAAACGACTGCATATTCTAAGGCAGATGTCAAAGATTTCAAAGTGTTACGGTTACTTCATTGAACACTCAAACACTTTGATGATGATGTATATAGCGTTTTATATCCTACCTATGTCAGGTTCCCTGTACCACTGTAAGGTTCAAAATCTGCCATCCCTTATTACCTTGGGTGAGTCTCTGTTTTGTCATCGAATGGTCAATGACTGGAATTCCATATCCAAACAGATGGTATCAGTACCTTCAATGAACACTTTCAAGAGAAGCTGGATAATCACTGGAAATCAAGCTGCAAGGATTACTATGGGTTAAACATACTATCCTTATTAATGAAGACTGGATTTTCTTTTTAACAAATTTATTATCAAGAGTCTTATCTGACCAAACCATTAAGTTATGTAAATTGGTAGTCTTAGCGTTCTCACATCATATCTCATATTTAAGTTCTCTAACCTGGATGGCTTAATTGCAAAGCCTTAACTGTTCTTCTGAACACCATCCTTGGAGCAAAATTCAGGCAGAAGTAAGGAACTTGAACTTATCTACATAAGATTAACAGCTTACTGTGTTGAACCTGATCCTAATTGGTTACTTTTGACTTTTTAGCATATCTATTAAGAGTGTCTTTCCCTTGGACCTGACTCTCGATTCTACAATTTTTCATCAATCGTTTTTAATTGGTTGATAAACTGGGTCAACTCTAAAGTGTTTATTGATTGCTCATAGACATGAATGCCAAGTCTTTAAAATTCTCTAATATTGCTAGTATTCCCTTTATCCAAAATTCCAAGACTCTTCCTGTGGAATGTGTATTTTTAAGTGTCCACGTGCATTGATCTAAGTAAAAATACATCCTGAGGTTTGACAGCTGGATCTTGTTCATGAAGACAAGGACGAAAAAGGTAGCAACTTTGTCCGATGAGGTGTTTATCGTAGTTTAAACCATCTACTTTTTAGATAATGTTTAGTTTTCGCCCTTTTGTCGTTTCATCCTTCAAGTTGCAATGTATTGATTGAAGTGATTTTACCGAGTAATAAGTTATCAATTTTAGAATTCGCATACAAATTCGAAAGGAATTAAACACCGAAATTCCATACATATTAAAATATTGCCAACCCTTATTGGGATGACTTACTTTATCAGTCAGTTCGTTTCTTCTCTCTTCATCAGCTAACTTTTCAGATGTTTTCTAACAAAAGAAAAAGTTTGTTAACCATGTATGCTGCGATCTTTTAAATCGACAACTTCGTTTCATTCGTGTTATTATTTCCTGAGAAATCAACTTACCATTTGGCACACCACGCTTATTAAGTAATTTTATTATCAACTGCAGAAACACGGAATTTTCGACATCACGAATTGATAGTAACTAAATCCTAAGTGGAAACTAGAAACCAGTGGACAATTGTTTCATTCTAGCATCGGACTCCTCAGCAGTGTATCCTCATCACTCAACCACAGAGAATTCAACTGAACAATTATATTTACATCAAGTTTCATTTTATTAGCCACTATTTTCATTGTTTTTTCAGTCTACATAATTTCATCGTTTCTACTCAAATGATATTTATTCACGTTTACATATATATATATATATATATATATATATATATATTTATTTATTTATTTATTTATATATATTTATATATATATAGTTATTGAAGAGAAAACCAATCTTACTGAAATATACAATAAACCACTTACAATTCAACAAACATAATTACTTACATTTAATTGAATTATTGCAGCGAGAAATATAATTATAAGAAAACCAAACAAAGTTATTCCAGTTTGAAATATCATGGTGTTTGATGAATTATTTGACTCTGAATGAAATAGTCTCACAAGCATTGTCATAATAGCTAGTGTAAATGTAAATATTCCAAATATAGCTATCATGAATTGAATAGGTTTTGAAGATAATGAAATATCTTGGTCATTGTTGATTTTTTCAGGCTGAAAAATAACAGTACTACTGAAAACATTTTATCAACATATACTGAGTATTTGGCAAACTGCACTGTAAGGCAATAAATATTATCATGAATATCGAAATAGTGAAAGACAGTTTAAGGATTTATAATTCAGCGATTTCGTTTGAATATTACCAGTTGTTGTCGCTAGTATTGCGGGTGATTAATTTCTTTTGACATATAAGCAACCTTAGCAAAATGCCCTGATATTGCCATCAATCAAAAGCATTTTTAAGCAGTGATAGATAGTAGCCAGCAGCTTAATCCAGGATGAGTGTTTTGTCAGTAGTTAGGTGAGTAATGCATTAAGGATTTGGACAAAATATACTGGGTTTGAATCTCGCCTTTCCTTGTAAAATATATTAACATAGTAGCAGTTCCTATGGTATGACACACTAGTGTGACTGCTTCTAACTTTTGAACAAGCTCTAATGTTACTATCGAGTCGCTTTTAATTTCCTAATAGTCATCCTTTTCACAGTAAATTGTGACCTTCAGTAAATACACCACTCATATTCATATATTTGTCATTCTACACTGATACGTAGGTACTTTCTCGTGTGTGTGTGACTTTGTGTCTATAAACTATTTAGTTTTCTTCAATGCTTGTCTCATTTTTGCATCAGGTGTTATTTATTTTGAGTTATAGGAACACTTGTAAGGAGTCCATTCATTTACATTGATAGTTTGAATCTTCCCATTCACAGTTAGAAATGCAACTGATCAGTCTTATCAGACATATATACATCGTGTGTGTATCGCCTTGATATAACTACTGAGTGCTTAACAGTGGAATCTTTAATGCGCGTTTCTTCCCGTTCGGGATTCGTCTACTGGCAGTACCCGTCTCTCACAGTTGATGTTGACTTCTAGACTCAAACCCGGTACCGTTCTCTCTGAATACCATATCGCTATCCTCGTCTACCGAGTAATTTTCTAAGTAGACTTAGCTACTTTCTTCACTTTTCTTCTAGTCGCTTCGTCTGTCTATCGAAATGAGATATAGACATCCGAAACACTCCTATTCGACTTTTTATCCAGGATTTGTAGACAAAAAGTAGGACATATATATTCTGTTTACATCATTAACTATGCAATCGTAATGGAGTCGAACCGCAGGTACTAAAGCTTAGTTGATTAATTTACTATAAACATAATGAATTTATCACCTCTCTTAAAGCCAATTTTATACATTGTTCATTGAAGCTTATTTGAAATCTCATTAACATACGGTTACCTTTATGAAGTAGCGAAATGATATTAGAATCAAGTTTATCTTTTATACTGCAATATATAGACATTTCTGGAAAGTTAGTTTTGAATTCGCATTTTAGTATTCTTGACAAGATATCAAATCAACTGTTTATACCTAATTAATACTAAAAAATTCTAAACTATTCGAAAAACGTCAACGAGAACCATGTGGGTGTTGTCGATGAGTACTCCTGAGGATTTCCATAATAGGACGAGTCAATCTTTCCGTTCATCCAGGTTTTCACTGTTGGTATAGCTAAGATCAGTTTTAAAGTCAAACTATAAGAATTCTTTACTATAAATCCTTTTACACCAATATAACGATTTTCTTAATTTGAAATAAATTTAAGAATAAAATTGGTAAATAGAATTCTCTCATTAAACTAACCGTTTTAGGAATTAGGTATAAATCAAGTGTTCACAAGTTGTTTCATGATATTTTAAAATTCCATTGCTAGGTTACTGCAATGGTGATGTTGAAAAAAGTTTATAAAATGTTGCTAAATATGAAATATCTAGTTTAAAAAAGCAAGTAGTTACTTCTTGGGTTATGTGTAATAAGTCTGTTCAAGAGTTAGATGCTCTCTATTGTACGTCTCATTCAGCTCTGTTCAAGAATTAATATGTAAAATTATGTAATACCTGGTAGAGATTGTTTGTTACTTGGAGCATCACCCTTCCTATTCGGAAAACTAGTGAAAACATAGGACCCCTGGATATTAATTTTGCTTTAGTGTCGGACTCTTCAGAAATGCGCATCCCTGATATCAGTAGCAATTAAACCTATGACTTCCGGTCTTAAACGCGTTAGATTTGAGGATAGTACCAACTGCAGATAGTGAATTATGGTTGATTAGCATTATGGATTGATTAAAGTTAGATATGTATTCCATCGGATGACTTTTTACCGAGAGACCGAAGGTCCTGGATTGAATTCCCTGTAGTGAGGTCATGGATATGTACTGTTGAGCAGTATCAAGCAGGGATAAAATAGCTGTGTAATGCTCCTAGATTTTCGATAGTGGTCCTAATTAATTGGCTTTGTTTTTATTTGACTTCGACATGACAGGCAGGCTTCAGTAAGTAAACTTTATTTGTTTACCAGAAGTGAACAACTACATACGAGTTAGTAGATAAACCACGGCTCACAGATGAATCAAAAGTTTCAATGTACTAATAATTCACAAAAATCAAACACTGATATTAACCTACCATTCCGTAAATTTCAGAATAGATATTGACTTTTATTTAACAAAATTAAGAAATCTAAATTAGAAATAGTTAATCAAACTTTTAAGTATTTCATATTTATATACAAATATGTGAAATACTTAAAATAATATACAAGTGTTTTGTGAGAGACATTTTTGTGGGTAAAGTAATTTTATGACTAGAATGAGACTTTGGTTAATAGTTCCAATAGTTGATAAATAAAATTACTAAACTTTGTTCCATGATTGATGTACTACATATTTTAGAATTAATACTTAATTCTGTGAAATTATTGAAACATTTTTAATAACAAAAAACTCATATTATTGTTCAAGATTGTTTGTAGTGGTTTTTTTAGGTTAAAGATGAAAATATGGCGAAATGATTTTGCAAGTAACTCTTGTGTAATCTCAAACTGTGTTAATTACATAAATGAGGGTGGATTCGACTGGAAAATGATAAGTTGCATCATTAATTTAGTATCTGTTGTTACTCAATAGAAACAGTGTAACGGTTGCTGAGAAAGATGTATTTCTTACTTCAGAAACAATATTATCATGCTTAGGTTTTTCTACTGATAACTTGTTGAGAAATTGACTGTGAAATACCTTCTATAGCTTACTTTTGACAAATTTTGAATGAGCGTGTTTGTAATATGATCAGAATTTCGTTGACTTGATAATACGTCTTACTGGTAAATATTTGATGGTTAAACAAAAAATGCGACGTGTTTGAGGTTCGTTGTGTTTTTGAAATATATATATGTTGCGCTTTAATACAACAATTAATTAAGATCTTACATAATAATAAAAAACTATGTATCTGTTGTGTTTCAATAAACTTCAGTCTTATTGCTGCTTTCTATCAGTGATATATCATAAAGGAATAAAAAAAACACCATTGTTTCATTCATATTAGCTGCTTGAATATTCCCATCGGTGTTTAGGTTATAATTACTCAGCTAAAGAAACACCGGATAACTGGAGAAACAGAAGTGAAAAGTTTATTACGGCCTTTTCTCAAGATACTAACAAACTAGGAAGCTACCATGGAGAACATCTGGAAAGGGATCAAGCAGGCAATAACTTCAGCATTTCATAAGGTTCTGGACCACAAGGAGCACCGTCATAAGGGATAGGTCAATGATCGTACACTAGAGAAGATTCAAAAAAGGAAGAACGAAAAGACTATGATTAGTAACAGCTAAATATGAACAGAGAAAGGCAAGATACAGTCCAAATACACGAAATCAAACAAGCTGGTTAAAAAGAGCATTGAAGCAGAAATATGTGGACGACCTAGCAATGATTGTTGAAGAAGCTGAGTTTTGATTTTGAACGTTATTGTGAAAGTTGGGACTTTCGGAGCCAATTTACGAATTATGAACCACAAAATACTGAGAATCTGTTGGCCAGACACCAGCAACAGCCTATGGTTGAAGAGAAAAAACTAGATTACAGCTGAGGAGGCAATAAGGAAGGATCACTAGAAGCGGACACACATTGCGGAAATCACGCAACTGCGTAACAAAGCCAGCCCTAACTATGAGTTCAAAGGAAAAGAGGGAGACAAAGGAACACGCTGTTCCGAGAATTAGAGGCAGAAATGAAAAGAATGGATAACAAAACGTGATTCCTGTGCCTAACTGCTAGCCATCATTCGATTCTCCTAATAATGCTCCAACTTAATGGCAATATCTAGTTATCTGTTCAAAATGCACATGTTCTAAAATGATCAACGGTAATCTTAAGCGCCAATGACAAGATTCAAATAACCAATATATATAGATTATTTTTTGAAATATAGGTTAAGACGTTTTTAGTATAATTTTAGAGAAGTTTAGATATCAGAAAAACGTAGAATAACCTCGATAAGAAGTATGAGAATAAAATTTCTGCCTAAAGAATATGGTGCAAACAAATGGTAGTATCAATTTTATTATCACATCTGAAAAAAATATTAGAAAGGTCAGGTCAATGGTAGACAAAAGTATTACATATGTTATATTCTGTGGTAGTTTACATTGAATTACATCAAAAAATTGAGGTCTAGATTCGTTGAGAATGATATCAGCACTTCGTTAGGACCAAATGAAGCAATTCAGAAAATTCAACGAGAATACGAATTACTTTTTGGACAGTGTTGGAGATACTGTATCGCTAAATACAACATGCAAGATGGAAAATCTGTCTTGTTGTCACACATCGATCTAAAGTGATGTTTATTCATTGACTTTCAGTGTATTTCCTATGTATTTAGCTATTTGATGCTCTACTCAGTTCGTTTGTAATGTTTATTTCACTATAATTTTACATTTCTTGACAATCGCCCGTTGAATGAGACTTAGTTTATTCGTGATTTCAATGGAATTCAACAATTTCGATAGCCAAATTCTGACAATTACCATTTACTCACTAGTGACTAGCTCCAAAAAGGAATTCCTGGAGTTACAGTGAGAACCTATGGTCAATTGAGTTAAACCGTGTCGGGTGTGGGGCAATCGCCTGCCGAAGACAGTGGAAGATGGTTGGGCGTTATCGAGAATCGACCACTATGGGACTTGGACACAGTTAAATACCGGCTCTATTGTCTAGCAGTTAAGTGTTTGTCAAGAAATCACAAGTTCGCGGTCTGATTCCCGTGATGGGGTAGTAAATATATGCTTTGGGAGAATCCCTTACTAGGACTAAACGTCCATACAATGCTCCTAAGTTCTCGAAGGATGTCCAGCTTAGGTCACTTCGTCATTAAAATGGAGTTCTTGCTCAAATGAAAATCTTTGTCACATTAATTGCAAATTCCCGTTCAATAAATAATGAAATAAATGTTATGTATGTGTGATCACCGGATAATAAACAGATGTTTGAACCGGATTTCAGCTTGATCTAGTAGGCGAAGTCCAAAGAACAAAATATTTTACGTGATCTGGACTATTCACAATGTTTTCAGCTTTCTCTGTGTACCCTTTTCCAAGCTCATCCGGTTAGTTTTTCGACTACATAATGAGTCAGTAGTTCAAAGTAGATTGTAAGTATGATTTGCTAATCTCTCACTAATCATCAGATATCGGGTTGAACTTCACTATCGTAGTCACTTAGGAAAAAGCGTTGGTGACTTCTAATAAGCACTACTTACCTACTAAATGAACAGTAGGTGGCCATATGTGTCCGGTACGATGTATTTAGTGAACATTAAAAAGAGTGAAGATAAACATGGTCTTTTCTACTTAAGATAGCGATCATGAAGTCGTCTACGGATTGATGGCTTTTCGAAGTACAACAAAGACCATTGTGTATTCTTGGTAGTTAACTCATAAAATGCCATTCTTTTTATTTTTAACTGAAATTAACGATGATACTCAAGAATTCACTCTCAATTTTTGGTAAATTCGGAACTGAAAATGACGAAGATAATCATTAACAAAAATTCAGTAACTTGAAAATAAATTCATAATAAATAGAAAAATCATTTTCAACTGAATTTGACAACAATAAATTACAATTTATTGAAATTATACTATAGAAACTTTTTATTTGTTAAAATTTTGGCGCCCCTCTTGAACTATTTGTAGTTTTCAGTTGATATAAATAAATTTCAGATTAAAATTAAAAGAAAGATGAACAAAAATTATATTGGAAACAGTCGAACTAAAATTCAAACCAAAAGATGAGATTTCAAGTTACTTATTACACAGTGAATATATATAAATTACAATTACGTAATGATTCTGGTGAAATATCATAAGAATAGAAACCAAATTATGGGAAACTGGATACGACACTATACACATATATTAATGTATATCACATCATTCATTCTACAATTACAAACAAGGAAGAACATCAAAATGTTTCAAACTTTTGTGGTCGTTGTTATCAATTGAGAGAGACTGATGATTCTTAAAATTAATGTTTACAAATATAAACATTTTAAGGTGCTTTAATTTTAATTTTAAGAGAATGATATGTATGAGTGAGTAAGTATCGATTGTCATGTAATGTGATAAATCAATCGACTGGTTTTGTGACACAAAATGGAATGTCTCAGAATTATATATAATATACGAAATTATTGAGTTCATAAATGTTATTTATTCAAAGTCACCGAACCGATTGTGGTAAATTATCAGGATAAGATGATAAATTACTTGTGGAACAATTTAAATCAGGTTTAATATCATTCTGAAGTGTTGAACTGTCTATTAATTGTTCATTGTTTGAATTTGACGGAAGACGAACATAAATGTTAAAATCTGAAGCGATTGATTTTGGATAAAAATTAGCAGTTTTTTCTTCCGAATAATCATATGTATTTAAACAAGAATATAATTTTCTGTCTAGTAAATTTTGACAATTTACCTCATTCACTTGATTCATGTTTTGTGTAGTAGGATATTGAGTGACTGAATTAATTTCTTTCTGTTTCAGTCTATCTGAGTAAATATGATTAGTTAAATTCCGACGAAATTTAGCACGTGCATTTTGAAACCAAACCTAAAAAAATTAATGGAATAAAAGCTAGCATATTTGTTTAATTTATATCTGTGGTTAAATATTAGAATTATGAAAACGTTGCACAGAGATTGAATGTAAAAAACTCGTGAATCTGTAGTTCATCCGTTTTTCATCGTTTAGTTCTTGTACGGTACCAAGCATTCTTGGACAGCTTGCCGTTTATTAAATGGATGAGTACCATAGATAAGAGCGTAATTTCCATTTCAAGCTTAAACTTTCACTTCATTTGTTTTCATCATCATCCAACCTAAAACAGGTCACGGTGATGCGTATGTATGTAGCTTTAGATGATTGATATGAAATATCTTGCAAAAATTACACTATGAGGAGAAAGATTTTAATCAATGTTAGAAATGATAATCTTTGGAAAGTCGTAGAAAAAGATGGTTCCCCTCTGTTACGCCTGCACGTAACAACATCAGCTTGATAAACTTGAACTATTACGAGTTTACCTAGTCGGAAAACGAGAGCGAGGATCGAGGATCCGGTGACACGACATGCTACTCAAATCCGATTATCCCAACCCCCATATTTAGTAAAAATAAGAAGACGTGATATGAAGTAAACCTGTATTCTACAAGCATCCAGAAAGTACGAGGTCCGAATCCAGAAGAGAATCAGGACCCCGGACTAGGGATCCGGGACCGAGCACTGGTCCTGGATCATAAAACGTTACAGATAATGCGTATTTATACACTGGTCGAATAAGAAACAGCACCGAATTCTGTGGCATAGACAGCTATGACGACCAATAGGAAGTAACATTTGAAATGACATTGACAATCCGGATCACCAATAAGAGACAACATTGAAGTATTTGACTTTGACAATTAAAACGACCATAATTTTGACCAATAGAAATCGACCAATAGGATTTGACCAGTAATTCTCTTAGGATATTGGCTGAATATCCTAACACCTTCACTCTTTACAAAACTTAAGTTTTTTTAACTCTACTAGTTTAAGCAATCATATAATTTTTAACTTATGTAAGAAAGAATTTTTAAGAGGAATTAACTGTTAATAGTGTCACTCAGTTAACAAATATGCATCAAAAGGTATAAAAATGTTCTTCAATCAAATGGAAAATAGTAACTGGCTTAAATTATATTTATAAGTAGTGCTAATCATGAATCCATTTTACTCATCATTTTCTGATTGAAATATAAGGACCAGTATTATTTAACACTTTTATTCACTAATGAAAATTAGATGACAATAAGATACATTGAAAGGGAATTATCAAAAACGACCTTCAGTATTACTGAGCTGAAACACTTTTTGTTCATTTTTATGCTACCACACATTACCCCTCAGTAAACTGATATACTAAATCATTTTAAGTTATCACGATAAGCTGATTGTGTTAAACGTACAGTCAATGCACTTGGTAAGCATAACCACCAAAGCAATTGGAATTGGTTACTGAAATTAGAAATGTCCCTCAGAAAAGTCTATTGAGGAGTTTTATTCAATCAGCCCTGACTTGTACATTGGATGAAACATCTGGAAACCAATCTCCACGATTCTGATTGGATATTCAACCATATGATTCTTGAATTTGACAGAAGCACAAGTTATTGAGTAACTCAATGAAAACTTTCATTTTTCTGTACAAAAACTAAGCTTGGAGAAAGGCATTCATCTCATACTTCGAGCTTTCTCTTCTATGCTTAAGTCGCGGTATAGATTTAGTCTGGGATTTTTCGAAGCGGATAGGAATTTAGATCTTTCCTTCATTTACCAGACCTATCAAAAAATGAGCCATTAAGTTCAGGACTTTAGTTGAAAATCTTGAGAACTTCAGGAACAAGATGTCTTATTATCAGTTTTATAAAGTACTTCATAGTGTCCAACCGAATCTGATAAATTAATTTGAATGTGATACTTAAAAAGATATAAAATCGCAGCCTATAATTAAAAATTTATATTTGAAAGAGAAATGGATTGTTCTATTTTCTACCAGAAAATATTAGGCCAAAGGATTACTGGAGACTCAGTACCCCGTATCATATAACACTTTCATATTATTGATTTCATGTCTAATGGGTATTTGGAAAGTGTAGTATTAAATTTTGATGATTAAAATAACATTGAACCACATGAACTCAAGTCGTTTATGTTTTGAATCCTATCAACCATAACACCCGAATGAAATTCCCGTTGATTTTTTGCACAGATAAAGGCAAATAACCAATAACATGAGAAAAATTAGATTTTTTATGTATTAGGAAGGGTGTAAAACAGACAATATATGCAATTCGTAGTGACAAATAATTTAAAGCTTTCATAAAGTCTGCCAATTTATAAAAAAATTACTTTGAAACACAATTTTCCTTCCAAATTGAAGCCAATCAAAAGAATGGGCAATAAATTCATTTATCAACAGGAATTCAAAGTTTCTGAGATTGCATAACGGATGTTATTAGTTTTAACAAATAATTTGCGATACTTAAAAATATCAAGTAATATTTAATTTCCAGTAAAAAAATTCTTTTGAGAATTGTGAAATTTTCATCATCAAATCACAAACGAGCCTTATTTAGGCGGCTAATGTGAGCCCGGAAGCATTGTAGAGCTGTTTTGTCCTATAGTGGAACTCTTCAGTAATGTCCATTTACTGCCCAAAGTTTAAATGATGTTCTAATTAGGATCATTTCGTGATTTTAACTATGGACATTTTATACTCTCTGCAAAATCATCTATCCATAATAATCATGTTGTCGTTAGCGAATAACTTGAAGGTATAATTTACGGAGCTCTAATAAGAAACCGTGGCCGGCGAAGTTCAGTTTCTTTAGGTATGAATAAGTTTTTATTAAATAAAGTAGATGATAGTCGTCCAGTATTGTCGGCTCAGTGATCTAAAAGTTAGGCGTTGGCGCGTAAGTACAATGATCCCGTAAAAATCAACAATGACCAAGCTATTTCATTATCTTCAAAACCTATTCAATTCATGATAGCTATATTTGGAATATTTACATTTACACTAGCTATTATGACAATGCTTGTGAGACTATTTCATTCAGAGTCAAATAATTCATCAAACACCATGATATTTCAAACTGGAATAACTTTGTTTGGTTTTCTTATAATTATATTTCTCGCTGCAATAATTCAATTAAATGTAAGTAATTATGTTTGTTGAATTGTAAGTGGTTTATTGTATATTTCAGTAAGATTGGTTTTCTCTTCAATAACTATATATATATAAATATATATAAATAAATATATATATATATATATATATATATATATATATATATATATATATATATATATATGTAAACGTGAATAAATATCATTTGAGTAGAAACGATGAAATTATGTAGACTGAAAAAACAATGAAAATAGTGGCTAATAAAATGAAACTTGATGTAAATATAATTGTTCAGTTGAATTCTCTGTGGTTGAGTGATGAGGATACACTGCTGAGGAGTCCGATGCTAGAATGAAACAATTGTCCACTGGTTTCTAGTTTCCACTTAGGATTTAGTTACTATCAATTCGTGATTTAAAATAATGGTTCCGAAATTTCATAATTTCATACGATGAAACAGCTGTTCACCGACGCTTAGTCTCCAATAGTTTTTAAATTAATGAAAATTTGATATATATAGAATTTTACATGAAGTCGGAAATAAAATTTTTGTAACTGTACGAAAAATGCTTACAGATAGTAAACAAAACAAAATTATGTCACTTACTTGTAATACACGCTTAGATAAACCAGTTTTTTGTGATAATTGTTTTAAATCTTTCGAGTCCGGATTATGACTGAATTCAAAGTAGGATTTCATAATTCTTAATTGTTGATGCTTAAATGATGTACGTATTCGTTTGATTTTTCCAGTGTTTTTGTCCATTCGTCTGTGGAGTTTTTCACTGCACGTTAAACGTTCATCTTCTGATTTTTTTATAAATTTTAATGATCTTGTTGACTTCATCTGTTCCGTCTTTGTATCTGAAATAGGTGTAAAATCATAAAAACTTGAAGATAAATTATCAAGAAATGCTGTAAACGTATTGATCATTACCTGTCAATAAAATGAAAACACATCAGTAAAATGAATGTCAATCTTATTAAACTCTGAATGACAAAAAACCAAATCAGTGAAAAATTCTTTCTGTGAAACACTTCTAACAGAATTTTGTTTTTTGTAAAATTTAAAGAAATTACTCAGTACCGATTTAATGTCTAAATATTCATGTTTGCTATGTCGTTGTTAAACTGTTTGAGTTACCTAACTATGTAGTGATGCACACAGATGATATTTTTCAATCTTTTTTAACTTAAAGTAAGACGATACAACTCAAACAAACAGCATAGTATAATACAGATCGGTATGATACTAAGTTCATAACTTATTTCACTCAGTTTCTGATATAACGAGAAATCCAACATTTAATATGCATTCAACTAAAGATTATTATCCGATATAAGATAAATGAGTATATAAACATAATTCATCACTGACTGATTTCATTCTCAGCATTACTATAATCTCCTGACATCATTTTATAATAAGAAAACTCATTTTGCATTGATCAGATTGTGACTAAATATCAACTATGCTATGACTTGTTACCAAGGTTTGGAAGGTGATTTCTCGACTTTTTAAGTCACTACTTTTGCGTGTGATTTTAAGCAGTTATCAGCCAAAAGTTATATTATATCACGAAAAAGCTATCGACAAAACATTTGGATTGCTCAAATAGCATTCAAGAGCTGGATGTAATTCGCCTTCTTGTAAAACTTGATTGCTTTGCAGTATATGTTTCTTGGTTCACAGATGCGCAGTACCCATAAGTTCAAGGTTAGAACGAAATGACAGCTCAACAATGTCTGGTCAGTCAGTTCTGTGAACTGGCTCTGAATCGAAGGAACATCCATCAATCACTTGGCATCTGTTAATATCCATACAAAAAAATTTTAAGGGGTTACTCAACTTTTCATGTAATCCAATGAGATATTTAAAGGTAAGCGTAAATATTTTTTGTTTCGGTCAAGAATAACTACATTATTGACTATGACTTTCTTCATAGAACAGCTGATCAGAAGTAAATTAGTAAAAACGGTTGATCATTAACTTTTACTTCAATCTTTGATAGCTTATTTTCTTTACAAAAGAATCCAATTGATAGTTTAAGTACCAAATCACTATTTTTCTACATTTAATATTTTAGTTACTCAGTCAACTTCGACTTTTCAGGACTATAAATATTTATATGGAATAAAAACTCAATGTCAGGTCATTTAAAACGGTTTGATGGCTACAGTATATGAAAAGACGTCATAGGATGTGTATATAGCAGTATTTCACAACTGATACAAGATTGTTTTTATTTAAATTGAATAAAGTAGGAAAATAGACCTTAAATTTTTTGTTTAATTTACAAGTAAACTTTCAACTGTGAAGAATAAAACTGACATAATATAATTTCTCATGACTAACTTCTGAATAAATTAATAGATTTCATAGATGTTTTATTCATCGCTTCATTTGTTTGATTGAAAGATTGTTGCTTGACAACTGAACCAACATTATCGCTGTAATTGTCAGTTGAAGTTTTGCACAAATCCGTTAACATTAATAATTCCCTCTTGTCTGTATGATGATTTTGACTAGTTTCTTCCAACGCAATTAAGTTATGTGCATTTTTATTTACAGATATACAGGTTTTTGATGCAGAACTGACACCTGTAAAATTTCCAAGGGTACATAATGGTGACGAGGTTGATACTGTGATACATATTGATGATAAAGCAGGAGAGGAAGATGAAGAAGGGGAGCAGAATGAATGTAACGGTGAAGCTGCAGTTGCAGTAGTCAATGTTCTAGTAGAGACTGTATTCAACAAGCAATTTGCATTAATTTCATTATTTATACTATCAATTATAATATTTGATTTAGAAGTGAATGAGTGAGTTACAGTTTCTATACTCGGTAGTAAGTTAATCATTTGTCTGTCAGACTCCATGATATCTTGTGTTTCATCTGAATCAATGTAATTATCATTAAATTCTTTCGATTTCGAAATTATATATTCGTTAATATAATCATTATTTGTATCGTTTAAACAAAACTGTGGATTGTTCAATTTGTTTGAATCTTTTTCGTCATAAGCAAACTTTTTAATGAAACTTTGCGAACAATCGAGAAGACTTTTACTGCCATCTTCATTGTTAGCTGTGGGAAATTAAAAAGATATAAATTACGCTGTGACAACTAAAATATGCAAATATATATATATATATATATATATATATATATATATATATATATATATATATGTTTGATTATTTCATAAAATCTTGTAGTAATAGGCATTTTTCACAATATTTATACTGGGAAGAGTTTTTGACTATGAATCGAAAAAAAGACTTCAGATTTTCGCTACTACTCCATGTTCTGTTATGCTAACATTTACGGAGTTTAAAAATATTTTCTTACACGTATGGCTGTTGAAATAATCTGAGAACTCACTTTTCTCTTAAAGGAAAGTTTACAAATTGAAATAAAAATACGATATAATCGAAACGTTGTTCACAAATCCTTAGATGCTATTTTATAATAAAAACACTTCATGGATAAGATTCTAAGTCAGAAACCTTATATCGCCGCTAGTATGTATATGAAATCAAGTTCATTTAATCAATCGATAGAATATGACCCTGACTATTTTACTGTATCCCCTCATACGAAATACAGCACATTAACTTAGTATTTTATTATTCTATATTTCAGTTACATATAGATATTAATTGTGTCGAATGAATATTCTTTGACTGTCATTGCTTGAACGGTTTTACTGTTACGCTAGACTGAAGTGTTAAAATAGTTACAATGAAAATTAAAGTAATTTGAATAATCCAGTTTAACATAAAGTTGAACAGAAATATTAATATTTATCCAGTTTTCCATTGAGATAAATTATTACATTTTACTAATAATTTTTTGCTTATAACTCCCCTAATACTTTCAATCACCTATTTAATGCAAATAATTATGATTGGAAATTTCATTAACCAAATGCCAACTCAGTGAACCCCTAACAAGTTCATTGAAAGGTTTCGAAGTTCTACATTTGATCACTGGATGAGTTGTGGGTGTAAATCAACGAGAAGTCTCAATATATCGCAAAATAACTATCTGGAGTACCATAGTATTCAATAGTGCTCAAACTAGAATCATACCGTAACGCAAAACAGCAAGCGGAAAATTCTCCAAAAACCGATAGTACTAATAAATATGATTTTTGTTCCTAACAAATTTCTCATGGTTAATCGAAGCCATTCTTCATATTAGTCTTTATAACTTCATCAATTCCAATAGACTGATCTCAGTTAAGATATAAACAAACAATATGGAACACGATGCTCCGAGAATAACAGACAGAACTGAAAATAATGAATATAATTAGGAAAAACTGAAAAGGACATTCCCTGACAAAGTTGGTCGGTTGCTGGTCAGTGACCTATGATCCATCAGAGGAAACAGACATAAGTACGTGAGTATACTTTACTTACTTACTAACGACTGTTAACCCCAATGGAGCATAGGCCACCCACCAGTTTTCTTCAACCAACTCTGTCCTGGGCTTCCCTTGCCAGTTCTGTCCAATGTTTGTTCATTCTTCTCATATCTTTCTCCATTTCTCGGCGTAATGTTTTCCTTGGCCTTCCTCTTTTCCTTTTGCCTTGAGGGTTCCATGTGAGAGCTTTTCTTTCAACGCAGTTAGGTGCTTTTTGTAGTGTGTGTCCTATCCACTTCCACCACTTCTTCTTGATTTCCCCCTCTACTGGAATCTGGTTTGTTCTCTCCCACAGTACGTAGTTGCTGATGGTATCTGGCCAACGAATCCTTAGTATTTTGCGTAAACAACTGTTCATAAATACTTGCATCTTCTGGATGATGGCTTTGGTAGTTCTCCAAGCTTCCGCTCCATGCAGTAGGACAGTCTTGACATTTGTATTGAAAATCCTGATTTTGGTTTTGGTTGAAAGTTGTTTGGAGTTCCAGGTATTTTTCAACTGTAGAAATGCAGCTCTTGCTTTGCCAATCCGCGCCCTCACATCTGAATCGGATCCACCTTGATTGTCGATGATGCTTCCAAAATATGTAAGGGTGTTAGGCATCTACTATGTCCTTCATTCTATTTAACAGTACCCTGTTGAAGACTTTGCCTGGTATTGGAAGAAGAGCGATGCATCTGTAGTTCTCACACTTGCTGAGATCGCCTTTCTTTGGTATTTCGATCAGGTATCTTTCTTTCCAATCTGATGGTACTTGTTCCTCATCCCAAATCTTGTTGAAGAGAATGTGAAGTATTTTGGCAGTTGCTTCCACGTCTGCTTTCATTGCCTCTGCTGTAATGTTGTCTGGTCCTGCTGCTTTGCCGCTCTTGATTTGTCTGATGGCCATACTGATCTCCTCAATCGTAGGTGCGCCAATATTAATTGGGAGATCCTTGGATGCTGCTTCGATGTTGGGTGTGTTCAGTGGAGCTGGTCGATTCAATAGTTCCTTAAAGTGCTCTACCCACCTATTTCGCTGTTCTTCAGTGTTGCTGATTACTTTGCCTTCCTTGCTTTTCACTGGTCGTTCTGGTTTACGATAGTTTCCGGCCAGCTTCTTTGTTGTTTCGTACAATTGTCTCAAGTTTACTTCTCTTGCAGCCTTTTCCGCCGTCGTTGCTAGATCTTCCACATATTTTCGTTTGTCAGCTTTGATGCTCTTCTTCACTTCCCTGTTTGCTTCTGTGTATGCAGCTTGTGCCTTAACTTTCTCTGCTCTTGTTCGGCTGACATTGATTGCTGCCTTCTTGTTCCTCGTTTCTTCGATTTTTGCAAGAGTATCAACAGAGATCCATTCCTTGTGATGATACTTCTTGTGACCCAGAACTTCGTGATATGTAAGTTCGTGAGTATGGAAGATGTTTATAGCTTTATTCTAACGTCATGCAAATTTTATTTTTTTAGAGCAGACCATTTCACCTGGCTCATAACTATCAGATAAACTAAAGCATTTTTAGGATTATAGACGATGAGGCAATAAAATGATACTGAGCATTACCCTTTTGGTGTTTTTGTACTCAAACAATTGGTAACACTTGAATAACACAAATTCACAAACCCCCAATTGATAAGCATTAAGTGTTCACAAGCCACTAGCTTCAAGAGGAAACTTTTGCACCTTTGTGAAAAGATCTGACTAGTGGAGTTCAAGCATGTCGAGTATCCGCCGCTTATCCACGAGTGTCAGTTGAATATACTCGCACAATATGTTAAATTAATTAGATGGCAGTGTTACCGCGTTTAACCAGAATTTCGAGATTAGATTCCTTGGTATAAGGTTATGGATGTACTCTTTGAAGAAGTTCTATACTAGGATCAGCACTTCCTGGTTTCCAGTAGTTGTCTAACGTAGATCGGTTCCTAATCTCTGTGCATAAAATATTGTTAGACATTTAGAATAGAATAAGGGAACTTACGCTGGATTTATTTAACTATTCTATTTTCGTATGCATACACAGTTTAATATCACTCCGGAACTTGAGTTCACAAATCATTATTTTCATGACGAAATATCATGAATCAACAGATCTGATGAATTCTTCATGATGAAATTCCGTAAAATATACTTTTAAAGATATTTAAGCCAAGCTTAAATCAATATTCGAGAAAACTTACATTTAATTAAATAATTTTGACAATCACCAATCTGACGTGCAACACTTGACAATTCAGTCTTCTCCGACAGTGTTGGAGTAGACAAGAGTGAAGTAGTTAATTGTTCTGGTATAAATTTAATAGTTACATTTTTCTGTGGATTTTTTTCACATAACTGAATAACTGGAAGATTTTCATGTGTATTCTCTTGAGTATTATTATTTAAATCATAATTTTTATCATCAGCTTCATAAATGATTGGTACACCATGCCGATGTTCAGGTTCATAAGAGGATTTCAATAGTGAACTAGGCAAATAATCCTTTAGTATTGTTGTACATTTTGTGCGAAAACTGTCATTTTCTACATGTAAAAATTTTGGGTTAGTTGACCTCAAAAAGTTTGTCAAATTAGGAAATTTAATATTTCTATTTAAAGAATTATGCGATTGTGGAAGAGTAGAGTGAATGTAGGAATGATTCCCTTCAGTCAATAACTCGGATGATGCCAATGTTTTAGTCATAATAAATGACTGATCATTAGTAGTATGATTATCGTGTAATGAACATTGAATGGTTTGACCTTCTAGTTTATAAGTATCACCATATTTTAATAGTCGACCACAGCTGTGACAAGTGAAACACAATTCATGGTACAAAGTATCATAACTAACTTGAAAAATTAAATCATTCTTATTTAGTCTTATTCCACATCGGCAACAAGAAGAAAGCCTAAAATGAAAAACAGTGTTAAAAAATAAGCTTGGTATTTAAAAGAAAATAAAAACCATGTTTTTTTACTATCAAAATCCTCGATATGTTATTTCCTGCGATAAGAAAACTTATTTTACAAGGATAAAAAAAAACAATATATGCACTGGTATTTATTTTGCTGATAACGTATCCAAATGTTTGAAAAAAAGATTATGTTTACGAACTTCAAATTTTACACTAGTATTACATTAGTATTTAATTAATGCACGAAGAAGTTTACTGAGTTATCTCTTCGTGAACGATGAGTATCCCGATAAAAAATGAAGTTTATTTGACTATCATAAGATGCTGGTAGTTCCTACCAATGCATAAGAATAGTACAAAGTAGGATTACATTTGAGATGATATATTTTATTTATCAAAGACTTAGCAATTATAACGATGCTTAGTCTTGTTAACCAAAATGTTGTATGCTGTACGCCTTTAAGAATCTCATTTCGTTAGGATTCTTAAATTCTAATTTTCTAAGCATAATTATGTGTATCAAATCTGTTTAGCCGATTGAATAGAAATACTCTATAGGTTATTCAGAATCACTGTAAGAAGCAAAATTGCATATTTAAAATTGCGATTGAGAAGTTAACTAATCAAAGACAATCCTAAGGGAATCTGGGAACTTGGTTCACTATAGGTCAGTATTCCTCATTAAGATATCTTTTGAACTATTAAGGATGGAAATCCTCGTTCAGTGTTACATTTGATGTAAGCTTTGGGTTATTTTTACGGTGACTAATCGCCTGTATGAGTGAAATATTTGCATAAAATAGCCACTGGTTAGAAATAGTTGTCAAACTTATCTAATTCCTAATCTTGTACGAATTCTGTCCAGTTTCATCTGATGCAAGGCTAGTTCCATACCTTCCTATAAAATACAGCAAATCACTTGACATCTTAAGCCATACACTATATGCTCGTATTTATCAGACTAAAAAATTCTTTAGAGAAATAAATGATGACTGACAGAATAATCTGGACAAACAATAGTTATTACCAGGAATCGAAAAACTAGAGAATATGACATATTTATAACCCTGTCTGTAGAACCTTCGAGGCTACTGCCGGTCCCAAGCCAGGATAAAGGAGGAGGATTGGGCATGACGTTGGAGACCCCATTTCGTCGAAATCTAACTTGCCAAAAAAACGCTAACCAGAAAAACTTATCCAAACCATCTTAACTCTGCCCTGGGAGTTCGAAGAAGAATCTTGACGTCGCGTGATGAAAGCCGGAAGTCACGGGGCCGATGCCTCTTCTAACAACCAGAGCAACCATTCTTTTTGGTACTTCGAACGTTCGAACATTGTGAGAGACTGGAAGACTATTTCAAGTTGCGGCAGAAATGAAAAGATACAACCTCGAAGTGCTCGGTATCAGTGAAACGCATTGGACACAGGTAGGACAACTGAGACTAGCTTCAGGGAAACTGCTGTTATACTCTGGTCATGAAGAGGAAAATTCCTCACATACACAAGGAGTTGCACTGATGCTGTCCAAACAAGCACAAAAGGCACTGTTAGGATGGGAATCTCATGGACCGAGGATCATTAAAGCATCCTTCAAAACAAAGAAAGAGGACATTACAATGAACATCATCCAATGCTATGCACCTACCAATGACTTCAATGACGACGTTAAAGATTAATTCTACGAAAGACTGCAGTCAATCGTCGACAGATGCTCATCAAAGGATTTGACCATTCTGATCGGAGACCTAAATGCCAAGGTTGGCATGGACAACACTGGATACGAAGACATCATGGGACGACATGGACTGGGAGAAACGAACGAAAATGGTGAGAGATTTGCAAACCTATGTGTATTCAACAAACTGGTCATCTGCGGTACAATATTCTCTCACAAATGCATGCACAAAGCCGCATGGATTTCACTGGACCACACTACTCAGAACCAAATCGACCATATCTGTATCAACAAAAAGTTCAGAAGGACTATGGAGGATGTGAGAACCAAGAGAGGAGCTGATATAGCCTCAGATCACCACTTGCTGGTCGCTAAAATAAAACTGAAACTCAAGAAACACTGGACAACAGGACAGACAACATCACACTTGTTTAATACAGCCTTCCTTCGGGATACCGTAAAACTCAACGAATTCAAGATAGCCCTCAGCAATAGGTTCCAGGCCTTGCACGATATACTCAATGGAGAGGAAGCAACATTGGAGATCAATTGGAAAGGGATCAAGCAGGCAATCAATTCAACATGTTACTAAGTTCTGGGTCACAAGAAGTACCATCATAAGGATTGGATCTCTGTTGGTGCTCTTGCAAAAATTGAAAAAAGGAGGAATAAGAGGGTAGCAATCCAGATTCCAGTGGAGGGGAAAATCAAGAAGAAGTGGTGGAAGTGGATAGGACACACACTACAAAAAGCACCTAACTGCGTTGAAAGAAAAGCTCTCACATGGAACCCTCAAGGCAAAAGGAAAAGAGGAAGGCCAAGGAAAACATTACGCCGAGAAATGGAGAAAGATATGAGAAGAATGAACAAACATTGGACAGAACTGGCAAGGGAAGCCCAGGACAGAGTTGGTTGAAGAAAACTGGTGGGTGGCCTATGCTCCATTGGGGTTAACAGTCGTTAGTAAGTAAGTAAAGTAATAACATATTTATGCAAGAAACTAATAGAATAACAAGTATCATTTCCAAAATTATTGGTGGCATGTGTCATGTTGAGGAGTACATAATACGATAACACCTCGTTTGGCGATATCCTTGTGAATACTAGCAACATTTGAGCATAAAAATATATTATCATGACGCAACATCGACTTTCTGTATCAAATCATATGACCAGTTTTGTCAACAAAATTCCAAGATTTTTCGGCAACTTTAATCTATTTATTTAGTTGCTAATTTAAGATAGCATTAGGGTATATGTAAGTGATAGATTCTAATGTTTACACGTATCCATTAGTTATTCAAACAACACTTGTTCAATAAATTCTAACTATTTATATTCCACTAAAATGAAGTACAGACTTATATTCACTTCATTTAATTTCTATTCCAAAGAATCATTATTCATAATTGGTCTACTGGATTGAAACTTAATTTGATTAATTTCAATAAATAACTTCACTGAATAATCTTAGTTAGACAGTCATTTATATAAACTGCAAAATTGAATAAATCTCTGTAAACCCCTTTCGTATTTAAATATGTGCCATCTAGTGACTAAATTCGAGAAATGATTGTTTAGTTCTAACGAGAAGCTGTGACCAATGGAGTTAAGCTACGTTAAATGTGAAGCAATGACCACTAAAGCACACTGCGATATTGTTACATTACATTAAGACTTGATCGAAGTTAAACATGTATGCCATCGGATTTCATCTCAGTGATTTAGAGGTTCAGCATTCATTATGAGACTCAAGGTTCTGAATTTGATTCCACGAGACGGGTTTGTGGTTGAGCGTTTCTAAAGAGCAACATATTCCTGGTTTTTAATTATTGTCTAGCCCAGGCCAGTTTTTGATTTCAACCTAATTACTTAAACCAAATGTTTTAATTTTTGTTTGATCCAATCGAATCACTGAAATATCATAAACATGTAGGCTCATAACTTAAAATTCCTATCTTATTTAGATAAACTGGATATCCTAATGAGACTAATTTCTTCATAAAAAATTGTTTCCGAAGTCTAAGCTTTGTGTTTTAATATAATTATTAAGCGAGAGTTCAAACTATCTCGTTATTGATTTTGAGGACTGAAATTTAATTAGTTTCTGTTGTCATTTGTGCATCATGAACGGACTATATTTCATTTATTATTATTAATCAAGGGGAGAATTCAAACTCATATTAGTCTTGATGGAAGCATCATATTTGTAGAATAAGTTAGTGACCATTTGACCAAAGCAACTCAATGGATAACGTGTAGCATTTGAGGAGATAGGTACAGAGTCCCATTCTTAATTTGAAAACCAGCAGGAATGCAAGGAGATTCAGATAGCTGGTGCCCAACCGGATGAAACACGCATCCTGTACTCCACCTCTAGCAATAATCCATCTCCTTTATCAGCTAAAATGTTCGCATTATGAGATGAAAATCATGTTTCATTACTAGTTGAATATATTAATAATTATGCATTCTAAGACCATTTTAACAAAAAATTAATAACATCTCTAAGTCATTCAGGAAATATTCAGGAAACGTCTTAGATAATACGTGTTGTATTTCATGAATTATGCTAAATTTTGCAAATACCGAGTATTGGATTAGAAACAGATAATAAGATAATATCATGCTTATCAAGAATTTATAATTTTCCATTATGTGCATCTTGAAGGATTTTAAACTAAACGATAGATTTGTTTTGAGAATTTAGTAAACAGTTTTCGCTTATATTTTTCAGCTGAGCGGTAATGGGACACTGATTAAATTTTAACAACATAATTGTTTTTGCATTTGTTCAGAAACTTACTACTGATTAAATGAACTCAAATTTCAACGGAAAAGTTGGTAGATAATAAGTTCATACAGTACTGGACAAAAAAATTTATCACATTTATCACATAATATGAATATCACCATAACTCAAAATCACTGATATTTATCAAAGCTATTTAAACTGAATATGTTTTGAAAGCGAATAGTTTAGAATAGCTTGTCAAGTTTGGAATTTTCATGTTTCCCTATAGAATATTTTACATTTCAACTTGACATGGTTAACTTAAATTTTGTTATTTAACGTCAACTAGTTGATTTTATGCTTAATGACTTAAACTGAAAGGTATTTTTAAACTTAAGATTTAAGTCGAAACATTTCACAAAAAAAAATCTGGTTACATTTGTTCTACTTTTAACCAGTTCATTAGGATGTATTTATCTTTGAGGACAATCATATCTGGTATTTATACTAATGATATAAAATATCTTTGTGTTTCAATAAACGCATTATTTATTATTCACAAACTATTTTAATTAGTATTTCATACTAATTAAAATGTTCTATATACATGCAGTATTAAAATTTTTTTTATCTCTGTTGAACACTGATGTACTTTACAGTATTTTAATTAATAGTTTTTTAGAAAATATTCATAAATTCCTTGGAGAATCATTATTAAAATAAACAAAACACTATGTACCAACAAAAAACAGCTGATTAACGTATTTACAATGAAAATAAAATAAACTTTTCAGTAAATTACTTTAGGAGATTATGCATTATTGAAATTTTTAATAAGGAAGATGTTACCGTTCAGTATGGAACTGATTATCAGTGAACACCAAAATCAGTGCATGATCTTCATATTATCAAATCTTTAGTTTGTACAATACCTATAAAACGTTTTTAATGATTCCCAATCATTTTTCATCTACAGTTTTGTCTTTTCAAAACAGTCTATGGTTGAACCTCTTTCATAGAAAAATACAATAGTGAATAATCAAACTCTGTTACACAATCAATTCTTTTGATGATTGTAATTATAGAAAAAAAAGAAACTGCATTTGTACTGCTTAGGTTTTATTGACCAAGTAACAGATCACACTTGATTCCTTGTTTGTTATAATTGTTCTATGCGAAAATTATATTCTGCTACGTTTTATAATTGAATTCATTTTTGCCTTAAATATTATCTACATTTAAATTTATCCACCTGCTTCATTTGTTGTATTTATTTTCTTTTTCATGTAGAAAGAGAAAAAAAATAACACTGTCATATAATCCAATGATAATAAAGCACATAATTTATGACTTGTCATCATGCTGTGACTCTATAACCACACTACGAATGAAAAGAACATCACGAACAAATACACAAACATCTACTTGTCGATGCCATCTACCTAAAGTGTCTAGACCAGTATATATCAAGTATTAGTTATGGAATTTTTTTTCTCATTCTGTTGTGGAGATTTTCTAGTCTTGTTATTATTACAATTATTTCGCTTAAATTTAACAGTATATAAGTAAAATAAAACAACCTTTTAGTTTCATACGCTTTCTTTTCATCATGTTGAAAAATATTTTTAGGTTCTTGTGTAGGTCTATGTACGTGTGTGTACGTGTTTGTTTAAATCTCTGATTTACTGTGTTGATAATCATAATTTTGTCACAATCAACCATATGTGCATGAGTAGATTTTTTTTTATAATAAATTTAATTTCATTACATTTTCAAATATCGCTAGTATCCATGTATTTTATGATGATAATAACTATTTCTTGTCTATTCCCTGCTAACTTCACTTTTGTTGTATGCCTAATTTTAACCAGAATAAAATTTATTTTCCCCTTGAAAAGTGAATAGATTTTTGGTCAAGATAATATAATGTTTTTGTCTGTTTACGTGTACTTCATTATTGCCTCAACTTCATCCACCCTACATCATCCACAGATTTTACTGCTGCTGCCACAAAAATTTCTAAAGTTTATTAATTTTTTTTATTTTCAGTAATAATCAGTTAGTTAATGTGCTTTCATCCTCTGCTTTCTTAAAGTCTCTTCCTTCATATCTTTCGTTATTTCACTGTCTAGTTGTATTATGTTGACATGATACATTTAAAAATCGTAAGGAAATTCTTCTACAAATGTTCACTAGCATTTTAACTGTCAAATGTTTCTCTATTTCCATAGCCATGCATGTGTGTGATGGTTTTGTCTGTAGGTTGTGTGTAACTAACAGGTAAAAAATGCACAATCATAATGTTGTGTTATTATTTTTGTCCAGTGCGAAAATCACATAAAATTTTATCCACATTAATAAATGGATTTGCCTGCTTCTATACACACATACACAAATACATACAAATAAATACTACCACAGTAAACCACAGAATGCATTTACACAGAACTTATAATGATTCATTGACTACGATGCAATTTTCATCAGTGCACAAACAAGTGCAGCACACTACTGCTCTAATGATAGTAATAAGTTATACATATGCAAAATCTGTCCAATTCATACAATCTCCACTGGCTATTTCTATCAACAAACAACTGAATGAGTATGTTATTTGATTGTTTTTTTCAAAAAATGTCGCCCAAGTAAATACCCGTTTTAGTTTCGAAACAAATACAACAAGAAGGGGATAAATGAGTAATGTGTATTACAGAATCAAAAGTAAACAATCGAAATTACACATGGTTTGCTAGACTTAAATTTGATTTAAAAGTGAATGAAGTTCAATACTTTACAGTGGTCTACGTTGTTTACCTACATTTTCATGGTAAATTTTCGTGTTGGGCATTGTGTGCACACATTGGTCTTACAGAATAGGGAACATAAGTTCGCAGGAGTACGCATAGTAGCAAAACAAGCAAAGAATTTCAAGAGAAACTAGTCACAAACACAGTGGTCATTGTCACTTATCTTGTCATTTAAGTAAATGTAACAATAAACCATGGTAAATAAAACGAAAAACAGTACAGATCGGAGGTCACAGAGAACACAGTGAAGGACACAGAGATTATGTAGGTTGGAAACTTCACAGTTTTTAACTGCTGACAGGTTCAAGAAAATGTCAACCTAATTAAACTGTTCAACAATATTCTTTTGATTACTCATGTTTATTCATTTATTGGTTTATTTGATTAAGTAATCAGTAGAATTGTAAATTAAATCCATTCAGTTTTTTTTAAAACATAGATTACAAGTAAACAATTAATATGAAGATTAATTCGAGCCGTTTTACTTGTGATTGGTGTAGATTGTAAAATTTAATTTCAGTTCGTTGAATGAAAACAGTGACGATGATTTATATAGAATAAATAGAATGAAAGGATGGACCCGTCAGCCGGATGCATCGAGTGTATCTAAACCACTAAAAATTAAAATAACAATAAATCCTCTAGTGAGAGTTGGGTGGTCGAAGAGAAGTCGAAAATCCATTTAACTGAAACGATGAATATGATTTTTTATCACAGATGGATCGTTTTACCATTATCGTCTTTTAATTGGTTAAACTGTACAATTTTAAAAGAAATAGGGGTTTGGTGGTGTTATATGGAAGTTTAGTAATTAAATTATCCGGCTTAGAAAACATAGTGTCATCAAAAACTCATGTTACCAATGAACTCTAACCTACAAGAATATTGCTGTGTAGATTTGATTAAACACATCAATATGTCCGATCTTCATTGATGATGTTGATAACTCAAAATATATATTATTTTGATTATCTCAACGCCCAGTGAAACTTGAATCAAAATCTCATCGGCCAGAACATTTTTTCAGTTATTTGTTAAATTCATGCATTGTGTCACTAATAAGCTAGGTACTACTGTTCTCAAAAATAATGCCCTTTAGCATCTATTTACCTCATCTTATTTAAATTTTCATGTTGATATTCACACTAATTAGTAATCACTGAAGTGATTATGGATAAAATAGATATAGTATTCACAATGCTAGATGGTTGTATGAGACTGGAAAGAAGCCGTTTACGTAGGTTGCGTGTTAATTAACACTAATTACCGAAGAGTATTTCTAGTGGGAAACTTGACGTTCTATATGAAGTTTAGGCTCGTTTCTCATTATTGCAATCAGCAATGCAACCCTTAACATATGTGTATTCACAATTAAGCCAATTTTCTTTATTTAAGCCCATCCAAAGTAAAAATCTTTGAGCAATGACGAGAGAAGATTAAGTGTTTCTTCATTACTTTCTAATATTAACAATATGTTTTAAAATTCAATATTACATAGTCACTTACTTTTTGTAATGTTCACGACAAAAAACCATATCATTTTTTACAAAACATGTTTTCTCCCATTGCAATGTGATACCACATTTATAACATCTTAAACAATTTAAATGCCAATATTTATTATCCATACACAAGAATAATTTATCATGTATACTTTCATAACATGAAGTACAATGTAAATTAACTAATGGTTGAAGTGATTGTGAAATTGTTCTTTCTGCTCCTTTTCCCTCTGATGATAATGATGATTCTACAGCTGATAATTCCAACGATGATGATGTTGTTGTTAACGACAAAAGTGATTCCGTATAATTACACAAATTATGAAAATTAGATCTTGCGAATTCATAGGTTAAATTTTTGCATCCTACAGTAGGAAGTTCATAATCACTGTTTTCAGCGTTCTGATTATTGTCCACTGAATTCATTGAATTATTTAGTATCGAAAAAGGAAGATTAAGGTTCATTGAAAATTCGGTTTCATTTTTAATTGAATTCCATAATTTTGGATAGAAATTTGCACACTGAAAAATATAATTTAATCAGTAAATCATCAAATTAAAGAAACAGTTTCAAAAAAATCGAATTTTTTCGATAATCAGTGAACCAGTAAATATTCGGTCTTTATTTATTCATCATTTGTACATAATTACTTCGAAGCTTACAGAACGAAGCATTGGACAGACATTTTTTTCAACAAGACACAGCAATAAATCTTTTCTGCATGATACATTTCAGCTAACTCCGTTTGTGCGACGACGGTAATAAGATGGCCACTAAGTTTTATATTTGATGGATTTATTTCATAAATTTAGTACGCACACAGACATATGAATGTGAAATGTAAAAACGAAGTTGGGTGGAGAAGGCAGGTGGGCCAACTGCATGTGATGAGGCATGACTAATTATTTCAAGTCAGATAAAAATGAGCTAAACGTGTGACCAATCAATGCACATAAGTACTCATGTAAAAACAAAAATTTTAAGAGAATAATTAGCTAGGTCAAACCGTGCTAATAGCACTTCGGGCAGAAAAGGTTGGTTAATTAATCCAAGGCTAGGACAAGCTCTATGGGCTTGACATATTGGTGCATACTACTACTACCTATTGAGCAGGGATCTAATAGTTATCTGCTGTTCAATGCTTTTTTAGTGTTAGTCTGCAGGAAACCTTAAACCTTGGTTTCATGCCAGGTGACACAAAATATGTAAGCATTTCAGTCCAACATATACAGTTATACCCAAAAGATAGTATCCATAGCGACGGTCAAAACGAATATACGAAGTGTTTCAAAAGTATTGTATTCAGTAATATTTTCTTCATTGATAGAATGGAGTAAAATTATCAGCAGTAGATACCGCCAAGCAATGGAATCCAAGACCTGCGTTTCGTCATTATGGGGCTGGTCAGATGCATGTACCTGAATCGAGTTATGGGTGAGCATCAACTCTGAGATGTAACTATCTTCAGCTGACGAGTCCCAAAAAGAGCGAGCCAGATTCCACTGCCAGCCACTATCCGTTTCTGATAATAATGTTTATACTCTAAAAAGACAATATCAAGGCAATCCGCACAGAATGTACTATATGCCAAAGAGACTGATCAATTGTAGTTGTAAACATCAATAGTTAGATTCAAACAACCAGTACAAATAAAGATATAAAATTATGTTCTGTTTTTTTTTACTTTGCCTGTACAAGTCTATTGTGTTTGTCTTACGTAGTCATCAGTGGTTATTTTATTTTACAATCATGATAATACTACTTCACACAGAGGAAAGGAACATAACCGCAAACAGTAACTAATAAATTAAACATAACTGATATTTATTGGTATAACAAAAACGGGAATACACATTAGGTATATATATATTTACAAAACACTTCTCCACATATACAAACACATACGTATACAGTTATTTAAACTTAAATAGTGGAAATTCTTTCCTTAATTTGGAAATTTGTGAAACTATTACAAAATTTCACAATATAAGACAGTAAAATTAAATTTATGATCTGTGAAAAGTAGGGGGATAAAAAAATCCTCCTTTCAAACTTTGAAAACGTCTACGTACGTTTTTTGCTAGGTTACTTTTTCAATCATTTTCACATTTTCCTCTTTCTGTTTTGTTTGTTTGATGTAGTAGAATTTTTATCAATTACCAATTTTATTTTTCTTTAACTTACATATAGACTTCTTTGTTTTAAAAGTAAAGTGAGATCGTGTGTGGTAACCAGTGTGCACCTAAATACACAACCATAGTTTCTTTAAAATAAAGTTCATAAATAAATGTTCATAGACATAAATGTGTTTCATCTTCGTTTTTCAGTCGGATTGCCCATGTAACTAGTTTCATACATACACTCATAAAGTTGAGTATTTATAATAAATTTCTATATGATAGATGAATACTTGTAAACGAGTTCACCGGTAATTTATACTTTAATATATAGAAAAGATTAGAGGAATTTTATCTACAAACAATTTGTGCTTCAAAACTCCATCTATTTTATCCCTCCTTTGTTCGGTCAACCTCTGAGTGTACACTCACGTCACCACATGGGTTAATGCCGATATATTTTTCCACTTTCATTGTTAATATAACTGACTTTATTATATAAGCAACCATTTAAAGCATAAAGGCATATGACAACGGTTTCATTCTACTTCAATAGTTTAATCTTCTAAAATGTTCTTAAAAAAGTTTACAATCTTGCAACAAAAATGTATAACACTTCCATGAACACAAAAAAGTTATTATTACGCAATTCATGTCATCTCACAAGAAACTAAATCTAACTCTATAAGAAGTTGAAGAGGGCAAAACTAAGCGTAAAATTATATACCACTGAACCTCGTAGGTTATGTGATAACTTTTAATGGAGTGGAACCGTGCAGCCAGTACAAGCGGCCTAAATGTTGGTTGTCCTATCTCTACACTGCAAAGACTGAATTACGTTGATTATGTCAATCCGGTAGAATTGTTTGGATTTTGATCAAAAGTAGTTACTGATTAGCACATGACTATGATTATTTAGTCAGGATATCTTAAGGGGCTTTTCAGTTTTGGGGAATGTTTTGATGATAAATTGATCTGAGCTGAACAATCACTGAAAACCAAAGTGCTCAGGACATTTGTAGAATCCTAATGTCAAAATCTTTACTAGTAATTTACAACAAGATTCATTAGGGCGATAAGATAATCTCCGAAATTTTTCACCGAAATCAGACAGTTTCCGTGAAAATAAACTTTCAAAATGTTTTATTTTTTGTTTGATTTAGTTTGTTTTGACTCGATATTTACAATAAAAATTTGCGTTTGTCTTTTTATCAATAGGAATCTTCATTAGGACCAACTTCGTTGCAAAGACAGAAGCATTTCCATTCAGCTGAATATTCTACTTGTTTCTCTACAACTTTAAACTGTAAAGTTATAAAAGATAGGCCTGTTGAAATTCTAAATATAAATTTATATTACACACCTTTGTCTCGTAGCATTATCTTCATTTCATCATATAGATTAAGTGATCCAAAAAATATATTAGACTTCATTTTTATTTTATTTCGTTTCTGTATTGAAACGATGTGTTAGGGAAAGTTAACTAGTTGAATTATTAATGGTTAAAATATGTAGGTATTTTACGTAAATAGAAAACTAAATTGGTAGTCCGATTAGTTCTTTAATAAATTCAATTCGAAAATAAAAAGCAGTCCGTGATGTAAAATTATGTAAATAAAATCTTTTTCACTGACCTCTAATACTAATGATTAATATATGATTATTATATGCTGCCGAATAATTAAACTCCGCCTGTAGACGCTTCGAGGCTACTGCCGGTCCCAAGCCAGGATAAAGGAGGAGGATTGGGCATGACGTTGGAGACCCCATTTCGTCGAAATCTAACTTGCCAAAAAAACGCTAACCAGAAAAACTTATCCAAACCATCTTAACTCTGCCCTGGGAGTTCGAAGAAGAATCTTGACGTCGCGTGATGAAAGCCGGAAGTCACGGGGCCGATGCCTCTTCTAACAACCAGAGCAACCATTCTTTTTGGTACTTCGAACGTTCGAACATTGTGAGAGACTGGAAGACTATTTCAAGTTGCGGCAGAAATGAAAAGATACAACCTCGAAGTGCTCGGTATCAGTGAAACGCATTGGACACAGGTAGGACAACTGAGACTAGCTTCAGGGAAACTGCTGTTATACTCTGGTCATGAAGAGGAAAATTCCTCACATACACAAGGAGTTGCACTGATGCTGTCCAAACAAGCACAAAAGGCACTGTTAGGATGGGAATCTCATGGACCGAGGATCATTAAAGCATCCTTCAAAACAAAGAAAGAGGACATTACAATGAACATCATCCAATGCTATGCACCTACCAATGACTTCAATGACGACGTTAAAGATTAATTCTACGAAAGACTGCAGTCAATCGTCGACAGATGCTCATCAAAGAATTTGACCATTCTGATGGGAGACCTAAATGCCAAGGTTGGCATGGACAACACTGGATACGAAGACATCATGGGACGACATGGACTGGGAGAAACGAACGAAAATGGTGAGAGATTTGCAAACCTATGTGTATTCAACAAACTGGTCATCTGCGGTACAATATTCTCTCACAAATGCATGCACAAAGCCGCATGGATTTCACTGGACCACACTACTCAGAACCAAATCGACCATATCTGTATCAACAAAAAGTTCAGAAGGACTATGGAGGATGTGAGAACCAAGAGAGGAGCTGATATAGCCTCAGATCACCACTTGCTGGTCGCTAAAATAAAACTGAAACTCAAGAAACACTGGACAACAGGACAGACAACATCACACTTGTTTAATACAGCCTTCCTTCGGGATACCGTAAAACTCAACGAATTCAAGATAGCCCTCAGCAATAGGTTCCAGGCCTTGCACGATATACTCAATGGAGAGGAAGCAACATTGGAGATCAATTGGAAAGGGATCAAGCAGGCAATCAATTCAACATGTTACTAAGTTCTGGGTCACAAGAAGTACCATCATAAGGATTGGATCTCTGTTGGTGCTCTTGCAAAAATTGAAAAAAGGAGGAATAAGAGGGTAGCAATCCAGATTCCAGTGGAGGGGAAAATCAAGAAGAAGTGGTGGAAGTGGATAGGACACACACTACAAAAAGCACCTAACTGCGTTGAAAGAAAAGCTCTCACATGGAACCCTCAAGGCAAAAGGAAAAGAGGAAGGCCAAGGAAAACATTACGCCGAGAAATGGAGAAAGATATGAGAAGAATGAACAAACATTGGACAGAACTGGCAAGGGAAGCCCAGGACAGAGTTGGTTGAAGAAAACTGGTGGGCGGCCTATGCTCCATTGGGGTTAACAGTCGTAAGTAAGTTTGTAAGCCTAATAATTAACTTAAAGATGTAAGTTTGGGAGTGCGAGTGATAAATAGTGATCACTGGAGTTCAGTCTGGTCGGAAGTGAAAATCTTATCTGCCATAGATTATCGAATATGTTCAGGAGATATTGCGAAT